AGCTGAGCTCCGGAACAACCTCCACCGCCTCTCATCTACCCCACCGCTCCCTTCCCGGGGGGTCAGCGCCAAGGTGGGTGTGTTGAACTCCAAAATAATCACAAAGAGGGTTTGTGCCTTTGCAGCAGGCAACCAGGAGGAAGAGCTCAGCAATCAGAATGGCCAAGAGGGGCCCCCAAGGAGCCTCAGGGGAAGGGTGACTCCCCCGTCTGAAAGCATTAATGGGGGCCGAAGCGTTGGCCAAAGTGGCCCAACTACTGAACGTTTCGGTACTGCAGGGGAGCCGAAGGAGCAGAGAGAAAAGACTGTTTCAGATGCAGGTGTTGAAGCGAAAGCTGAAGTGAGACCTGAGCAGTACTCCGGGGCCCAGGAGCCGGGCAGCTCATCACTGCAGGGCCACATCCGCATCTCCGTGGAGAATGGAGACACCGCTGCAGAGAAGCAGAGCTCTCCGAAGGGGGGTGAGGCGCTCAGGCAGGAGGGGGAGATGGCGAAGGATGCCGAGGAGGAGGAAGACAGGACGCTGAGAGACGACCAGTCGGGACGTGACTCTGTGGATATCAGTACCTATAGCGCGGTGGGGGAAGACTTCGGAGGAAGCCAGGTGGACGAGGAGGAAGAGGAAGTGGATGACCGCTACGAGCCCGAGTCCAGCTGTGTGGAGATTGTCGGGCTACCTGTGGAGGAGGACCCGCCCCCTTCCAGGAAGATCCGCTTCAGCACAGAGCCCATCAAGGTGAGGAATATTCAGTGGGAAAGCACGTAGAATGAATCTGAATCACTGAGGATCTCTCAGACTGTACCCTCTGTGTCTGTTTAATCAGGCTGAGTTGCAGATTTCTGATTTGTACTCTTTTGTGTTTCATTCTTTTCGTCCTGTGTGTTGAGAGGCTTGTTAAACTTGACCTTACAGCTTATCATCTGTGGTACAGTCTTAGCCAGCACCGCTGTCAGCTGTTTTAATGAACTCACTCAGCTCCTGCCGGTGTCAGAACGATGCTGACATTTTGATTTTATCCTGCTTCAACACGGGGCTTTGCACACAACTAACACCCTCCCTCCCCAGTAGCCAGCTGCTAATGGATGCTCCTGCATTCCTACTGTGCAGCTGACATGGGCCCCAAAAGAGCTGCGATGTAGATTCCTATCTGTAATGCAGTGGGAGCCGCTTCTGTAAATAATTGCTGTGGGAGAAGGAACAAAGAGGCCCGGATAATGAGTCCTGTTTTTAGAGAAGTGGATACTCCGCCGTGACCAATGTCAGATCAGTGGACAGTGTATTGGGGAAGAATGGAGTTTTTTTTTTTTGGGTGAGTGTGAAAAAGAGGGAGGAAGTGAGAAAAGAGAGTGTGTGAACTCCTCTTGGACCAGTGAGATGAAAAGAGGAGGAGGAGGAGGAGGTAGAGTTGATTCAGAGTGTCTCTCTGTGTCTGGGGGTGGTGTAATAAATCTGGAGAGGAGCATCAGATTCTCTCCCGCTCAGTCTCGCTGCTCTGCTCTGCCTTGAGGTCTGAGGCGTACAGAGGCTCTGCGAGCTGAAGCGGGCCCTGACTCTGTACATCACACACATTCCCTCGCGCAGAAAGCCACTTCAGTGACTAAGGGCTCCTGTCCCATATCGTGACCAGTCAAGTCGAAAGTTACTCTTGCTGTCTTCCCATGGCTGCACATCGGCCCGTTAGTCACTAGAGCTTGATATTTCAGTACTTGAGAGTTTAAAAACAAATCAGATGGTGACAAATAGGCAGATATTCCTTAACATAAACACCCTCATATTTGGCTATAAAATAGTTCTGACAAAGATGTGAACTGAGAACTGCAAGATAATTTAGAGCTAAACAGTTTATTTTGGTTAGACATTTTGGTAAATATGCCAAGCTACAGTCAACAGCCGGTTAGCTTAGTTTAGCTTGGATCAGAACTTGGTATTTAAAATGAGCTGTTATTTAATAATGTTTCAATACTCTTGATTTGATATTGTTTAGTTCTGATTGGTGCAGAGCAATATGTGACATCACATTTCCCCAGCAGAGCCCGCCTCCAACCAGAGAGACTAGCACAGGTAAAACAGAAATACCTCATGTGGAGTGAAGATTCTTTTTAATATTGTGTTGATGATGTAGATGTTTGATGACCTTTTAACAGTAAATGTGACAGTATGAAAGTTTTAGTGAAAATTAAAGGGGTGGCAGTATGGAGAAATGTTTTGATAAGCGGTTACCTGACTTGTTTTGTATCTCAGCTTTGCAAACGAGGAAGGAAATGCATTGATTGCTTTTATCAGGCCTCAGGGATACACACAATGTGTTTTGGGAAGAGACGTTACTCCACGGGAACCCTTAAATAATACCTCTGCTGTCTGTAAAGCTCGTATATACAGCTCTGTCTGTGTGTGTGCATGTGCTGATGCTAACAGATCTGTGGTGAGCCAACGGTGGGCCCTTATATCCTCGCAACCTGGACTGAAGCGAACTGTCTCGGCCATGCTGAGAATGAATTCCTTGTAAACTATGCCTGAGCTTAGTATGTCCATCATGCAATTGTAATGCAGGAAGAAGAAGACAAAACCAGACGTCTGTCCCATTATTTTATCCTCGTGAGATCAAAGATGGATCGGGGGAGGAAGCTTCATGTATGGCGTGATAAAGAAGTCATAACTCATAGGCTTTGATAGGAAAAAAAAGGCCGAATTTAGTTGTGACCCTGCAGCCGTCATCGGACAATAACCTCCTACTGTGGCCTTTCACACTGTATCAGTGTGGCCTTTGTTATGGAGATTGATGCAGGGGTGGATGAGAGTGGAGGGGGTGGGGGGTGTGAGGTCAAATGGGAGGGGCGTTATTATGCAGCTCAAATGTCATGCAACTCTATAACTGCGTGCCTCTTAAGTCACAGTGTCAGTTGGTTTCTCTTCCAAACAGGAAGTGCCCATTTTAGTGCATATTTCCCCTCTCTGCTTACAGTTCAGCTGTTGGCCACAATTAAGTCTTGTTGTGGCGATGGCGGTTGGACGTCTGGGCGCGTGTCTCTCTTTGTCCCCGTTTCACACTAAGCAATCCTCTCTCTCTCTCTCTCTGTCTCTCTGTCTGTCTGTCTTCTCAAACTGGCAAAAATAGCAGTTCTGCTTCGGGTAGAGTTCACACTAGAGCCTTTGTTTGCTCCTCCTGACACTCCTTCTCTCGCTCCTTCTTTTTTCCCTTTCGCTCTTTGTCACCAGTCTCCTACTGTTAGTAAAAATAGCAGCATTGTTATCGTCGCAGACTTGCCTCGCTTTTCAGGGCCGCCTCCTTGTCGAACACAGGAAGCCGCCGCTCATGTCTTATTTATTTTTTCTAGCGTGTTTGTTTTGGCTTCAGTTTATATCACTCGGTATCACTACTGTAGTTCACGATGTAGCCTCCTGGCATGTTGTGATTTTTAATTATTTAAGCTATTGTCGAAGGAAAGATTTTTAAAAGAAGATACTGTGCCACTGGATATGCTCTGTGTTCCCTCTAAACCAGAAATAATCAGATTTATTTTTCATGCACCAGAATCACCTTGTGCACTCATCACCTAGCCTACTCTTACACTTTTAATCCCCCCCCATCACCACACACACACACACACACACTTTATCGTGGGTTTCTGCTGCCTACGCAACTCTGAACAACAGTCCTGCCAGGCTGCTCAAAGAACACCTATGATTTTCTTTCGCACTGTATCATTAACGCAAACAGTGACTGTTCCTATATTGTAATAAACTGAGGGTGTTGAATTTTGACAGACATAGAAGGAGGGATTGCATTTTTAAGGTTGCGACCACAAATTACAAAATATAGAATGTCCAAAATGCAACCTTTGGTGGTTTGTGTTCACCGCTCAGGTCAGCCAATGAGGGATTGCCCAGGGAGAGGTAATGCATCACTACATGTCAAGTTATCCTCAAACTGTCTATTACTTAGACTCAGCGGTCCTGCAGTATTTCATACAGTGCATTACTCACAGCCAGGAGGGGTGGGAGACCAGACAGATTATCGGCAAGGTCACTCTGCCCCACTTCTTAGTCCTGCAGTGCTGGTGGTGGTGGTGGGTTGCAAGCATTTACGTGATGTGCCCACTCGCTCAGGTTACTGCGACAAGCCGTGTTATGCAATGTCTCGCTCATGATGTCTGAGTGCTGTTTTGTCCTGTCCATCATCTTGTCAAGCTTAAAAAAAACCCAACGGTGACGCTGGTTATAGTCATCTGTGAGGCAGCATCTGTACTGTAGTGAAGATTAAGGTCTTACTGGTACTTTTTATCCATCCCTAAGGGAGGAATTATAGGATGATGTTACTTATGTTTTCATTACTGGCAACAAATCTAATTAAACAAATGACCAAAGTCAACAATGTGTTAGTCCAACTCTCAAGACTACCTAATCTGTGGCAGTCCCAAATGCCCATTTTTTTCCTACTGAAGATGTGAATCTCTAAAAAAACATGTCACCAAAAAATATACTTTCATTGTTAAAATGGCTAAATAATTTCTTGAAACAGCTGGGCAATGTATTTGGTAGCAAGCATTTCTCAAGCTCGAGAAACAAAACATCACCAGAGAAAGACGTAGATAGTAAATTAAAAAAACTATGCTAAATAAAATAAATGAACAAGCAATGAGAAAATCAATATAGCATATGTAAATATACAGTGTTAAGCATTAAATATAAAATGTACAAAATGCAGTAAATAAAACACTTTAGTATGGTAGTATGGGGACTCATAATAAATATATAACCAATTTACCACCATTTTATATATATATATATATATATATATATATAATGTAAAGAATATTAATATGAATAACAACATAAATATACATACAGTTATATATGCAATTTACTAGATGTATCATATAATTCCACATGCTGTGCCATTCGGTCCTTTGTCCCTGACCTTATTCTCATGCTGCCGTGTCTCTCTCAGCGCTAAGCCTAAACATGACTGCTGACCAAAGAGTGGCCTTGCCAAAACAGACAGGCTCTGGTGCCATGCAACCGTTACTATGACGAACTCACCATATCCATTTTGTTGGCCGAGGGAGAGTGGTCCAGGATGATGGCAGCCAGGACCACATCCTTATTTTCTGTCTGTGTGTTGCACATCTGGGATCTGGATTAACCCCCAATTTTTAGGAGGATTAAGAAGCAATTAGCTGCCACTTCTGGACATGTGGAAAGCAATTAATGGTGGTGTCATTAAACAGCTTATTTTGGTCTGCATATGCTTAATTTTAACAGTGTAAAAAAGACAAGTGTTTTTACCCTAAGAATAGTGGATTAATTGCAGCATACATACACATAACAGCGAGGCACCCAAAGACCAGATCAATTATTATGCATCATAATCACCTTACTTCACTTTGAAGGCATTTAAGGTAGAAATGGAGAATTGCAGTGAAGCCCACATTCCCAAAAGCAGTAATAATAGCTAGAATAGTATGAGTAATAAAAAAGATGGAAAGTTGGGTGCTACAGAATGTGGAGAGACAGAGTGGAAACACGATGTTTCTGTTGTGTAAAAGCAGCCTCCACACATCCTATTGGCGGAATCCAAAATTAGATCTGTTTTTGGAGAGTCCAGAGGGAAAGAAACACAGCAGTTGACCTGCTGCTGTGGGCAGTGGGAGGAGGGGGAAAGGGGTACTGACTCGCTAGTTAAACCACCACAGTGTTACCCAATCACGTTGTAGCCAGAGGGCCATCAAGATGGAACCACACTGCAAGAGACCAGAGGCCTCCAGAGCAGCTCTATCATTTAACCATCCCTCTGTCACGACAACTGCATTGTAAAATGGTAGTTGTCACTTACTGGCTATTTTAATACCCTTTACAGTCTCAAGTGGGTGCTCTTTAGAGACACAAACACAATCTGTTTGCTGGTCATGACTGTAGCTAGCTGCCCACAGAGCTTTTGTAGGACATCCCAGGCGGCTGGTAGCAGAGGGAGGGAGGAAGGGAGTTTCCTGGCCATCTGTTAGTTCCTCTGACCTACTATCTGCCACAACTGGAACAGCGTCCTTCTCCAGTCCTGCCCACCCCCCACCCCCCTGCCTTTAATCCCAATGTTTGTCTTCCAAAGATAGCCACCTCACCGTTCGAGGAGTTCATCTACTACTCTACATACTTGTGAGGTTGGGGTTGAGAGGTTGCATCATGCGGAATCCCATTAGTCTGACACATAAGGAAGGAGAAAATCTTCCTCTGGGAAGCGAAAGTGTTAAGTTAAGTCATAAAGGGTTAGATTGTAGCCTGGCCTGCATCATGCACTTGCCCAAGGCTGGAGGTCACGACACACATCTGATCATGGCCCTATTTTTTTTTTCCCCAGTGCCACGTTAACTGCTGCTGAAACTCTCTGATCTTCTGTAGCGTCGTGGGCGTAAAACGAGGGCACCACAAGCTACCAGCTGTGGGCTCTTGATCTTTAAACTTTAAAAGAGTGAAGCAGTGCCACGTGAGAGAGACACAGTAGGCATGCAGGCTTGGAGTGCACTGTTGTTGTTTTATGCTCCGTTACTTAGGATGCAAACAGTGTATTTTGTGTGTCTGTAATCCACATTCTGCTAATCCCTCTAAATACGTAGGTAACCTAAATCAAAAGCCATTAGACTTCAGTGCTGCTCCCATGCTGTCTGTCATCTGCACTAGGGTTGGATTCAATTTGATTCACTTAATTATATTGGGTAAACTAAAACTGCAGTTCAAGTTATATCAGTCCTGCTTCAACTAATTGACTAATGACAAATTGACAATGTCAAAAACAGTGTAAAACGTTTCGTTTTCATAAATGACTAATAAACGGATATCAAAATTCTTGTCAGTTAAAGGAATAGTTCCACATTTTAGAATGTCAGAAACCTGCATGGCTGCAAAGAACAGAAAGAGTTACCTACAGAAACTCAAGTAGCAGAAAATCCAAGCAGACATGTTATCACAGGACTTACACTCGCAGACCTTTAGGCAGCGCAAAACACCACAGAATGGATCAGCTATGACTAAACTGTCAGTTATGACTTTTAAAGGATTCGTTAAATGTTTTCGGAAATACTCTTTATGCTAAGCTAAGCTAACTGGCTGCTAGCGGTAGACATGAGAGTGGTATCCATTTCCTCATCTTTAGAAAACTAGTTAGTGCATTTTCCAAAATTGCTAGTCCTTTAATTTCCTGTCTGTGAATGAATCAATTAATTGACTAATCGTTTCAGCACTTTCTTAATTTCATTTCAAAGAATAGATTGACCCCAGCCAAACTGTAAAGCAGTGTGTAATTTTTATACGTCAGCCTCGTCACCACTTGTGTGACATACAGTGATGGCAGGGATGTGGCTCAAGGCCATAAAGTTTTAAACCCCATTCTTGCGGGTTAGGGAGGCTTAAGAGTAGAAGCACAAGCTTGTACACTGTTCAATGATGCATCAAAATACAATGAAACTGAATAAATCTGAGAGTGGAGGGGCTGGTTACATTTCAAAAGGGCTGTCAAAACTGACAGGCTCTTTACTGTGGGGTTGCCAGGGAGACGGGGCCCATATGACTGAAGGGTAGCACTGAATCCATAAGATGCTACTTTGAAACACAGATGGACAAACTAAACATCAGAGGAAGAAGGGCGAGATGCACCGAATAAAAGTAAACAAAGGCTCGAGAATAAAGTGTTAAAATGTTGCTGCAGAGGGATTGTAGAGAGACAAGCTGAGAAATGCAATCAAATAAATGAAAGAATGTGTGAAAGGAGAAGGTCCAGCACTGCATTAGTGTGGCTAGCGGAGCATGCAAGGTGGTGCATGCATAATCACCTTGGAAGACTGAAAGTGAGGCTTTTAAAGATTCAGCTTACCCTCTCTCTCTCTCTCACTCTCTGTGTGTGTGTGTGTGTGTGTGTGTGTGAGAGAGAGCAGCAGCTGCAGAAGGCCTCCATTAGCATGCTGGAGGTGGTTATGTAAACTGTCATGCTGGTAGACCAGAGTGAATGTAGGAAGCTGGACCCTGAAACAGAGGCCTCTGTCTTCATGAGAGCAATTTCAGTGGTTGTGATTGATTTCACCCTCCCCAGTGTGTTTAATGCACATTACCGCTGTGAAATGATCGGAGGCCTCGAGGAAACGCTGCGGCTGTCTCAGTTGAAATAGTCGATACTTTTGAATTGCATTATGTCCATGTTAACAGCGGCGGTCAGTTATTATCAAACCGTGTGTCCAGCTTGTCTGTCTCAGCCGCATAAATCTCAGCCTCTGACCGCTGCAGTCATTTTTTGTAATCTGTCATATTTTGAGCATTTCTAAGTACACAATACACAGCCATTCTTTTGTGATGAGAATTGAACTGAACTTAATGGTAGAAATTAAAAGTTAAATTGAGTTCAGTAACTTCTTTATCGAATCCGTTTTTCCATTTGTATGACCATGTAAGGGATTAAACTGAAACACAGAATTTAATACATGAATAAAAAACAGTGCAGTGTAGTTTGCTAGTTCCATATGAATAAATGTGCATTTTGCCACTCTCTTTCACCTGTTGATATACGTATACACACACACGCACACACACGCACACACAGGTGATTCAGCATTGACTAGCTCCCCATGGGTGCAACGTGTGTTTTCTGTTTTCAGTAGCAGTTATATTTGGAGTAAATGCAAAAAGATCTGGGTAGAATAACGAAAGCGATAAGCCACCGTGTGTGCAAAGAACAGAAAGGGTTTATCTACAGAAACTCAAACGTCAAGTACAAGTGCAAAAACACCAAAGAGAGGATCAGTTATCAATAAACAGGGGACTTATTTAAAGGAGTAGTTAGGTAGTTTAGGAATTATGCTTAGCTGTTTTCTCTCTGTTTTGTCTTTATGCTAAGCTAAACTAACTGGCTGCTGGCAGTAGCTTCATACTTACCATACAGACATGTTTTTAGTATTTAAGTTTAATCATATTCAGTAAATTCTTTATTTATTGCGTTATTTTCATGCCCCAGCCTCATCATCACTTAAACCGATGCCACTGTCATGTCTGTATGCTGACTATGAAGCTACAGCCAGGATATGGTAAGCTTAGCTTAGCACAAAGGCTGGAAACAGTTAGCCTGGCTCTGTGCAAACATAAAACCACAAATTGTTGCTTTCAAACCCAGGTTTTTGAAGGATGAAACACGATTTAAAGTGTTAATTAATGACATTTAGAGAGGCTGATGTTTTAACCTTTGAACAGAGCTCAGGAAGTTGTCCCCTAGTGGTAACTTCATATTTAACGCACACATATGAGAGTGGTATTTGATCGTCCCATCTAATTTTCTGCAAGAAGGAGAATAAATGTCTTTCCCAAAATGTTGATTTATTCCTTATAAGAAACCTAAAAATTCACAGTCTTGGACAAAAGGTTTAAACGTGTGATTCTCAGTCTGATCCAGTGTCTCTGGCTCCTCCCACAGGTGTTTGCCACCTACCCCAACGAGGACTATGACAGGCGTAATGAAGACGTGGACCCCATGGCAGCGTCTGCTGAGTACGAGCTGGAGAAGAGGGTGGAGAGGCTGGACCTGTTCCCTGTGGAGCTGGAGAAAGGTACTGAACATTATAAAGTTACCCACAAAGCCAGATGTCTTCTCCCAGGGCTCATGTGTACAGCATGTGTCCAAATTCCACCTGTACAAAGCTGCGTTCACAAATAATGTGGTTAGTTTGAGTACTAGAATTTTGACATTCATAAAAAGGTATTTGAAAATTAATTTTGGTACGTGCAATTACGTTCCACTTGACGTTTCCATTCACCCGCTCTATCTATCTCTGAAGTCAAATGAGAAAAAAACCCCACATTTCATTATTACTTATGTAAAAAGACTTTCACTGTTCACCAACTGCCTTCTGCCAACCATCCTGTTACCCGCAAGGCAAAGAAAGTGCAACCTTCCATCTCTCCCCAGTGAGCCACACTTCCAACATCCCTTCAACATTATGGTGCATTAATATATTTATAGCAGACTATATATAGAGTTGTGTACAGGGCAGGTTACACGGGATACCATATGTGACCATGTTCTATGTAAATGATGTGCTGCTGTGAATACTGTCAGCATTAATTGAATCAGGATAAAATGGAGGCTGTGGTTATTGGTCCAAAAGAGAGAATTGTTTTAACCATTTGAAGTCTATGTAAAGGTCGGACCTTTTCTCTTCCCTCGAAATACAAAGGAGCTTGTGTATACCTTTATTACAACTATAAATAAATTACAGCAATATACAGAATGCTGCTGTCAGTAATAAAAAAAGTGCAAAGAAAGGAGCTTACATCAGTCCATATCCTTGTATAGTCTCCATGTAGTCTAAGGATTAGACTAAGATCCTACTACTACTTTAGAAATCTTGTCATGGACTTGCCTCTGACTGTGTGGTTGATATGCTGCAGGATGTGCTGCATGCCCCTGTTAGACCCCCTCATATCCACAGACTCTCTGCTGCTCACTGTACCAAAAAAATCAGACAAAGACCTGCGGTGAAGCTAACCCTCTGCAGTTTTAGATCCAACCTCTGGAACAGATTCTTTCACTGGATCTGGGGACAGCGATGTCAAGCCTAAAAACTCTTCCTTTTTAAAAAAAACTATGTACACGTCTGCTTAATTAAAATTGTAATTTAACATTTAACATTCTTCAGTCTTTCTGCATTTCAAAATAATATATTGCTTAAATTAAGCATTTAAAAGCAAAGTGAAAGTTACTAGAGAAAGTCAACAGAGAAACATACAGAGAGAGAGACAAACAGAGAGAGAGGATGCGGGCCGGTGTGTGAGTGTGAGACACACGGACCAGAGTAGGTGTGTGCGTGGCAAAGTGTGGAAAAGGTTACTGAAGAGAAAAGCAAGGTGATTAAAGTAGTTAGAGTTAAGTATTGAAATAAGTAATATATTATAAATAAGTACATTTATCAAATATTTTCAATAGCTTAATACCCGGTCACAGTCCTGCCGCACTTAAACTGTCGTCCTCATACACCAACAAAGGCAGGAAAAAGACAACTTCTAGCAAGAAAACATGAATGCTAACAATGCTATGTTTACACTTTTCAAAACAAATGCCTTTGTAAATGTTTAATGAAGAAGGAAATACATTTTCAGACACACACAATGTGCTTTGGTGAGTAACCTTGAATGAAAACAAAGCTTTGAAAAAGAAAACTCAGGGCACCTTTAATTTGAATCTCATCTGTGTTAAAGGAAAAGAGGAAGATAAGAGAAGTTCACCTCTCTGAAAGTATTCACCCACCACAAATTATTATTTTATTATATTATACAGTTCCCCACTCCCTTTCAGATGGCGATGGCCTGGGCATCAGTATCATCGGGATGGGTGCAGGGGCTGACATGGGTCTGGAAAAGCTGGGTATCTTTGTAAAGACGGTCACAGATGGAGGAGCAGCACACAGGGATGGCAGGTATGTTAATTGAAACTGAAAAGGCCTTCGCTTTGTAAACTACATGTCAACCTGAGGTCAACTTAGTAGTTGTAGTTTTATTTCCAGGAACGGATGCTTCACGGTCCCACTTGTCTTTCTGGTTCTTGGCAACTGTATATAGGTCTTGCTGCCAAGAACGAGGACTCATAAAAGGAGTATGGCTCGTGTGGGCTTCAGTATAAAGATGATGAACAGAGGCCACAGTTGAGCTATTACTGTAAACCCTTAACGTCTCTCCTGACTGCCTCCTCTAGGATCCAGGTGAATGATCTGATTGTGGAGGTGGACGGGACCAGTTTGGTGGGAGTCACCCAGAACTTTGCTGCCTCCGTACTCAGGAACACCTCAGGAACTGTCAAGTAAGAGTTACTTTGGATAGTCACGGTTTTATTGCAATTGCTTTGATGCACATTAATCAACACAAATGATCTTGATGAACATTTTTAGTCACAACAGCGGAAAGTGGCTTTAGCGATGGAAATGTTGGTCCACCACTATGGTCTCGACAGAAATATCTCAACAACTTTTGGATAGATTGTCATGAAATGTTGTAGAGACATTCATGTCCTCCTCGGGATAAGTTATTACACTTCTTACATCATCTAACACTATTATCAGGTCAAAATACTTTTATCTGCTATGATTTATCGCTAAATACGTGCAAAACTTAAACATTCCCATGAACCTCAGTAAAAAGTAAAAACCTCAGCAGATGCTAGCATGCTACATGCTAAACTAAGATAGTAAACATTACCTGTTAAACATCAGCATGTTAGCCTTGTCATTGTGACCCAGTTAGCTCGCTGATGATGTTAGCATTAATCTCTGCTGTGCCCTTAGTTAAATGGGCATTTATTTTTATGGCTGCCATTGTGTAGTTCCCTTGGGCTTGCTATATGTGTTTTGTTACACTTTGTTGCCACAGCTCGCTATGACATCCAGCATTCTTACTCGGAGAGATGGCTTCCTCTTGATATATACCCACAGCCAGTCATACACGCAGGACTGACTTATACCACATCCTGCCCATTCAGCTCACCAGACTGTAGATTCATATCTCAAGTCTCACAGGGTCATGATTATACCCCTCTGTATTGAAAAGCTCCTTTTTGAGACATCCTGAATATGGTCCAAAGAATCCACACTAGAGCCACAGAAAACACGGTTATCAGTAACAAATACACTTGGCATCAAAAGTATCATTTTGAAATGCCAGAGGGCTATTTGTAGCCCAGCTCTTTGGTGTTTTGGGAGCTGACTGTTCCTTATGTGCTCCTTTTGTCATCTAAGCTCATTTATAATTCAGGGTTTAGTGGTCAGCACTGTGGGGTAATTGTTAGTGTTGTGTGACTTGTGAAGACCAGAGACCTCCATAGATAGCTCATACATTATGGCTCTGCTGCAGGGAGGCGCTAGAGCTCAGGCCTATTCATAAAAAAACGTCAGGCAGACGAATAGACGGGGGCAGGAAGTGTGTTTGTGAACATTTAATTACCCGTTAGTGCGTCAGAAATTGAAAGGCTGCAGTGGCTGGCTTAATAAGCGTCTGTGGCTTCATCATGATATACTGTATTGTTTCCTGTTTACTGTGTACACGTTGGCTTTCATTGGACAGAGATTTGTGAGCCTCAATCAGGAAATATATAGCTGTTATAATGAACTGTACAATGAGCTAAAGCAGAGGCTGAGCTGAGGGGTTTGATTTTAATCATAGAAGAGGCCAACTCCATAGAGAGTGCCTTTGTTCAGCTCTAAACAGGAAGCCATTTTCTGTCATCAGAGAGCCAGCACATTCCTTACTACATTAATACATTACAATATACCATCTGAAGAGTACTCCATTATATATGAAAAACACTTCTTGGTCCTTGTGGAGCCAGTGTTCATTCTCCTCACTGGTCAGGAGAAAAAAAAGAAAAGAAAAGACCATCATGCATTGTTTAGCATGCATATACAGTATCATACCATATCGGATATTTGAGCTTACGTAGCTACTTTGAACATGTTTTGGGTTTAGCGCTTTCAATCCTAACTGAGCTGGACTGCCCATTGTCAAAATTCCAGGTTCATGATCGGGCGAGAGAAGCCGGGTGAACAGAGCGAAGTGGCCCAGCTCATCCAGCAGACCCTGGAGCAGGAACGCTGGCAGAGGGAGATGATGGAGCAGCGCTACAACCAGTACATGGACGAACAAGAGGTTAGAATTCATGCGTCAGGGCTCAGGGTGTACTGGTGTAGGATCCACTGTGAACTGACAAAACTGCTTGGTTTGTCATTCTTGAATCAGGGGTGGTGCAACGTCTGCACATGCACAGTGCAGAGGTGAGGGTGCAATGCTTACTAATCCTTACTAACCCCCCCCCCCCCCCCCC